TGTGTGTGTGTGTGTGAACGTGGGCTTGGCAGCTCAGCCTTGCCCAGCCTCTGCAGAGCCTGACTGCATTCTGTTTGGCAGAGGGTTTTAGAGAACCGACCGCTCCAGGGAGTTCTGTTTTCAGCTCTGGTTCTCTCAAGCAGCCTGCCAAAGTTGTATTCTTTCCTTTGCAGGCACCTCCATTTTAGTGTCCCCGGTTTGGAGCAGAAGAATCTTCTACTTGACACGCTCTGTCTCTTCTCTCAGGCCAATTTCTGGATGGCCATCTTGCTACAGACAGGGCCATCTTGTGTGTGTTTTTACCTGCTGGACCCTGTGTCTGCCCCCAGGTAAATTCTGCATCAATTACAACGGCATCTGGCTGTTTTCTGGGTTGGAATCTGTCATCCTCACTTGGATAACCCTCCCTCAGTCCTCGGCTGTCAATTCTGTTTAGTGCTTCTCCTCTGTCCACCCACACAGACTGTTAACCTTGGGCAGAACCAATCATAGGATGCCAGAACATCTCTCTTCTCTCGCCAGCACAGAAAGGGGACTCTGACAGTTGTTCCCTCTCCCTGAGCCTTTTATACTGAGCTGAGTACTCTCTTCCTCCAGTGAGCTTCTACAGGTGCCCGGGGAACCGTGTTCTTATTTCCTGATGGTCCACACCCAGCTGCACACTGCACCTGCTGGAGGCACCCCTCCCTCTGGAGAACTACATACGTTTTGATTTCAACCTGCTGCTACAGCACCCTGCACAGAAGGGGCCCCGGAACAAAGGCCCAGCCCAGTACAATCCAAAGGGACATTGTGTGCTCGAGTTATTCATTACTTGAGTTAGCCAAGGTCACAGAGCAGGAAGCATGTTGGGAAGCAAGGGAAAAGGTGGCATTGAGGGTGGGGAATTAGTCAGGGTGACCTTCCAGGGCCCAAAGGGAACTCAGAGTCCTGGTCCTGGTTAAGTATCAGAGTAAGATGGTCAGTCATAAAGTCATACCAATAGCTTCAAGGTCACATGGAAGGAATTATAGTTAAGCTAGCTACTTAATAGCTCTTGCTATGCACTAGGCAGTGTGCTTAACACTTTCCCACATCCTTCTTTTAATCCTGGCTACAATGTATCACTCTAATTTTACAGCTCCGGGAACAGCCCTGGAGAGAACAAGTGACTTGGCCAAGGAGGCAAAGCTGGCCGACCTGGAAGTGAGGACTGTGGCTACCTCTCCATCTTACCCTTCCTTGGGCTGCTTTATGTGGCCAGATGGTGGAGACTGGCTAGGGAGGTGGAGCACGAGGTGAGCCACTGAAAGAAATGGTTCCCACAGAAGCGGGCTGAGATCATGCTCTTCTGCAGCATCACTAGCTCTGGGTGGGAACAGGAATGCTTCTTCTATGGAGTTTGGGGGGTGGGGGTGGGGCGGGGAGACGCTGCCATGGCTCTGCAGGCCTGACTCTTGCAGAGCTGGGAAACTCACCTGAGAAGGAGAGAAATCTACCAGAGGAAGATGGGGCGCAGGTGACAAAGAAAGCTTGTTTGTCTCCCAGGACAGCAGTCTGACTGGCATTTGTCACACAAACTGGCATCTAAGGGAGGGAGGGTATTTTTCTTTTTAAAGAATAAAGGAAGTTCTGATAAAAATAAATAAATAAAACCCGCCGCTATGAACCTGTTTGCACATACTTGTGTTATCAGGTGCTTTTGGGGTTTGAGGTACAGGGGCTGGGAGAGATGGGCACCACAACAGCCATCAATTTTTTTTTCTTTTATTTCCTCCAACCTCCTCCCAACTCTTTGTAGCTCATGCTAGCCTCATATTTGCAATCCTCCTGCCTCTGTCTCCAAACTGTGGGATTATAGGTTTAAATTGTTGAACTCCTGCCAAGCCTCATCCCTCTTGAAGCTGCCTTACCTTTTATCCTCATGTGGTTTTGTTTGTTTGTTTGTTTGTTTGTTTGAATCTGCCCACAGAGTTTCCTCTCTCTTACGGTAGTGAACACTTATAATACATACAGCCTTCCCAGGGGTCTGGTCTGCTGGAAACCCCTCCATGATGTAAGTTCTGCCTAGAGACTGATCAGGGGCATTAAGTCTACAGGTGCAGCCTCTTCCAATAGCTCACCAACCACCAACTTGGGGCTTTTCCAAAATAAACACTGCAGAGGTAAAGCAGGGGGTGACTTCCTTTCTCAAAGGAGCTGCTCTCCCAGTTGCCCTTGACTTAGCCCGGCTGTAGCCCCTGTGGGCTGGGTGTGACTAGGTTGCTTCTTTTCCCCCCCACTAATCTTCGGAAATTTCAGGTTTTCTTCAGTCTTGCAAGTGCTAGTCAGAACAAGCTCATTTTACATCCCTTCGATCTTGTCCTTGGGTCTGCGAGGTTGACCTTGAAAATGACAGGGTGCCTTGGGAAACCATCTCTGTATTGGGAAAGTCTTTGATAAGTAGCTAGCTTTCCACAACCAGCCAGGTCGCTCCAGGGACAGGCTTTCCTGCAGCCACTGCAGAAGCATCCCCATGTATTCTGCTGTGTCATCACCCCAAGAGCGGCGTGGGAAGCTGCTCAGGGGCTCGGTGGATGAAAATAAGTGGTTTTTCAGCCACCGAGGATAGAAGGGATGGGAAGCAGGTCATGTCCAACCCTGCGCTTTGCGACGTCCTGACACATGAGCTGGGTCTTCCCAAGTGTTCTGCCATTCCAAGAATTCTACAGTAGAAGGGGGGGGGGTGCCCCCAATGAGACAGAACAGTAAGCCAACGAGAATACCAGCCACCGACCTGGGCTAGGAGAGTCTTAGGTGTCTGGGTCACGTGCAGAAATTGTTCCCCGGGGTCTAGACTGGCAGGAGCCACAACCGGTTCCCAGCTACAAGCCAGGGTGGGTTTGGCAATTGTCCGGCTTGAGGTGGTTCAGGCCGCCCACAAGGAGCACAGCCCAGGAGTCAGGAACCCAAGCTGCCCGCTGGGCTGGCCTGCTAGGAGAGGGCCGGGCCGGAACTGCAACCGCAGTGGCAGAGATTGCGAGGGGGCGGCAGGTGCAGGAGCGGAGAGGCGGAGCAGAGCTGGGCAGAGTCACTAGCGTCCCGGAGTGACCTTCCCCTACCCAGCCAGGGCCTAGGGGAGGTGGACCTGCAGCAAACCTAGCCCAGTAGGTGTGTGTGTGTGTGGGGGGGGTACCAGACGCGAGGAAGGGACCGAGGTCTCCGGGGCTCCCAGAGATCGACGCAGGTGCAGGCCACCGCACCAGCGCAGGGGGGTGTCCGGGCACAGCCAGGGGCGGGAGGGGGCGCGCATAGCAGCCGGAGCGCAACTCACCAGCCCCCAGTCCCTCTCCGCGCCCCCGCGGCCGCGCCAGTCCCTCTAGCCCAGTGGGCTCCTTTGTGCCGGCCCCGCGCCCGCCCCTTCGGGTCTCAGGCTCCGCCTTCTCGAAGCCGGCGATTGGTCCGCCGTGCCGCCGATGGGCGGGGCTACGGGTGGCGGAGGCGCGGTATATAGTAAAGGTAGGGCGTGCGCCCTCAGCCAATTTCTCGGCTCGTGGCCCGCGCGCGCGCGTGTACGGAGCCCGCGCTCTGCTCCTCTCGTCCTTCCCGGTGACTTTCCCTCCTTGTCCCCGGTCCGTCTCGGCAGAGGTCACAGCAGGCAGAGTGGTGCAGCTACGGCTCGGAGCGGCGGCTGCGGGGTTCGCTGAGCCCCCCAGGACAGCGATCGGAGCGCGGGGGAGAACCCGCGAGCGGTCGCGCGCCCACCGCTAGGTGCGGGGCTCGGAGCCGCCCAGCCCGCGCGCGCCCTCCTCCTTCGTCCCTCCTCCCTCCGCCCCCGCCGCACCTCCCCCTCCTCCCGCTCTGCCTGGGCTGCTCCGCCGCGCGCCTCGCACTCGGAGAGCCGCAGCGGCAGCGGCGCGTCTCGCCTTCAGAGACAGAGCCGGGCCGCGGGGGACACCGAGCCGCCGCCGCCGCCGCGAGGACGCCTGGGCGCGCGCCGCACTCGCCCACCCTTGGCCTCGGCCGCCACTGCTGAGCCGCCACCATGGCCCGCGGAAAAGCCAAGGAGGAAGGCAGCTGGAAGAAATTCATCTGGAACTCGGAGAAGAAGGAGTTTTTGGGCAGGACCGGTGGTAGCTGGTGTAAGTACGGGGGCTCCGGAGCGGCAGTCGCCGCCCGCTCCTTGGCTTTTCCTAGGAGGCGCATCCCTGTGCGCGGGCACTGCGGACTGGTTCGGTGCCCACGGGGCTGTCCAGGGTGTCGGGGACTGGGTGGTAGGCGATGCCAGCAGTGCGCGGGGCCTGGGCTTGGCATCCAGTGACAAGTGAGGGGTCCCCAGGATGCGGCGCGGGTGGGGTCTGGAGTTGGCTAGACTGAGGGTCATGGGCATGGTAGGAATCTTCGTCTTCTGAGCCTTCCTTCCCTCCTGGGAAATTCGGTCAGGTTCCAGGAGACTATGTATGTGCCTTCCCTCTCCATCGCCCAACGCCTTAGATAAATGAGATTTAGGGCTGGGAGAGAAACTCGTGAGCTAACCTGTTATAATGCGGGCGATGGCTGTGATAGCATCGTTTTTTTTTCCAGCCTAAAAATGTACCTAGACTGGAGAGGAGTGGGGAGGAGAAATGCATCCCCACTGCAGTATTTCATGGCCATGTCTCGGGTTTACCCTAGAGACGGTCCTCGGAGTCATCATCACAGCCCAGAAACGGCCCAGTGAGCTCCATGTCAGGGCCCGTTTTTTTTAAGCCTTGGCTAGACACATGGCGGTCTGGTGTTTTTTAAAAAGAACTACATGGTACAAATCTTAGAAGATTTCTTGCTGCCTGTTGCTTCCTTGCTTGGAATCCCCTCAGACCCTATTGAAAATTAGATGCCATATATATATTTTAAAACCTCTTTACACTGGAAAGGTGGTAGGTTTTTTTTTTTTTAAAGGTCATTTTGAAGGGCATAGTTGTAGATAAATCCACGAGTCGTGACTGCGGAAGGGAGGGAGGGAGGGAGGGAGGGAACTCCCCTCTGCTGCATCACAGCCCCCTCCTTCCCCGGTATTACCAGCACCACAACCACCACCAGCACCTCTGCCTCCTCTCCCCCTCTCCCCCCCTCCCCTATAGCACCAGCACTGCAGTCACCAAGGGAACCCTGAAAACCAGCGATGCAGTGTTCCTGTGTGGGGAGGGTCTATGGAAACAGACTGGGGAATGAGTCAGGGAAACGCTGCTTGGCTGACATTTTGAAAAGGAAGAGGCTAGGATATATGTGTTTTTTTTCCCCCTAAAGGAAAAAAAAAAAAGGATGCAGTCAGGTAGCCTCTCAACTGAAAAACTGAAGGGTTAATAATGCATCATATGTCAAGGTTAGTCAAGGTGAAGCCTCATCCCACGGCATTCCCGGGAAGCATAGGTATCCCCGAGCCAGGGGAAAAATGTAGTTCTTGAAATTAATCATGGCTTTTAATTTCACTTTATATTTCATTTGTGTTTGGGGAGACTGTTCTCCAATGGGGGGATATGGCCATAGTTTTCCTGTATTTCTGCAATGTGGAAGGGAAACCTGGAGAAATGTGAGGTATGTATAGGATGACAAGCCAGGGTCATTTCCTAGCAACTCCTCCTCCTAACTCAGCTAGGCCTGGGAGGTGCACTGCGGAACTGGCCCCTCCTCCCAGGTTAGCTGGGCCTCCTTTTTTTCTGGTGGTCTGGCCCCTGCAGCACCCCAGAACCAGGGGCAGCCTTGACTTCCAGGTACCTTGTGAAATTTGCCTGCTAGTGTTTTTCCACTTCTTAAATATATTTCTTTCCTCATTCCAGTCTCACACTCCTTCTTTGAATAATATTTGCTTTAGAGGGTTAGGAAGGCAGTATGGAACAGTTTGTTCTTTAAGCTGGCATTTAATGGGGAACCCCTTTCAGGACAGAGAGAGAGAGGGAGAATGAGAATATGTGGTCCTGATAATCCCATCCCGCGAGGTGGTGATACACACTGACTTCTGTGAGGTAGCCATCGTTCCTCACCTTCCATTTTGTGGGTGCTGAGCTCAAAACCCAGTTTTCGATAATATGCCTGTTTCTTTCTGACAATGTAAGAAATCGTAGAGCTGCTCCAAGGAAGGTGATGTGGCAGCGGTAACTCTCTCAGAGAGAGAGAGATGCCCCCTTTCCAGCTCTGGGCCCAACATGGATGCCCTTGGGACCAGGGCAGGATGCCCTTGGCTCCGTTTTGCTTATAGGTAGATTTTTCACCAAGATGGACGGCAGGAGGCTCCAGTCTGTCACCTGCTGGAGAAATCACAACTTACAAATCACTTGGTGCTTTCTACCTTTTAATGAAGTTAATACAGGTGTTGGCAGGTTTTTATATTGTATTTATATATTATATTTATATTGCTATTGGTTTGACATGTCACTTTTATAACCTTCTTGGCATTTTAAAGGATGAAAAAAATATATATGTATATGCATATATGTATGTATATAAATATAAATATATATATATATAAATATTAACTGCAATACTCCCAGTGTTCCTTGTTCTTTAAATACAGAAAGAAAAGAAAAATTGCTTTAAAGGGGGAAAAAATATCTCTAAAGCTTACACCCCAACCCCCTACATCACGCCACTCAGCTGCTCGGTGGAACTAACCTAGCCTTTGGTTCTGTTTCTCAGTGCCACTGGTAGCCTTGGTCTTGGGGAGTCCATTGCCTAAGCTCACCTCTAACCAAACGACTTTGCTGCAGTGGCAGATTTACTGAGTCCGTCTCCAGCCACCGCCGCCGCAGCAGAATTCTCCCCTGTCTGTGGCATCCTGTCGGTAGAGTGGAAAGGGTGTCGACGTTCTTGAGCTTAATCATGGCGCTTGTGAAATGACTAATTTCCCCATCTATTCATCTTTGAACTAGTAGCCTCAGTTCTGCACCTTCTTAGGTTAGGATTAGCTCCCTGGAGTCCAGGGAATGAGTAGAAGGATTGTCGACCTTACCAGAGGCAAAGGCGGTTAAGTCAAGAGCACTGAGGGGGGGCATGGGGGGGTGGGGGGTTTGGGCAACAGGACAGGAAAGCAGCTGAGAAGTGAGGCTCTCAGGCGCTGTCTTGCTGACTGGGTTAGACCACCTCAGTATCTCTTCAGAGCGTTCGCTGGAAAAATTTTCCAGAGCCCTTGACGTCACAACCTTGCCATTTGCCTACTGCTGCCTGGATACCAAATGCAGCGCTTAACCCTCGTCCTGCCGGGAGGAAGGGACAGAGCTGAGGGCTGTGGTTCTGGATGCTGCTGCCATCCCGCTCCTGCTCCTCTTTGCTTGGATCTTTGTATAGGGGAGAGAAGAAGGGATTAGATCCATCATTCTTGTGTGGGCTTTTAGGTGTGTTTGGTTTGTTTCAGCCACTCCATGACATCGTCGTCTTGATGGGAACGTTGGGTGTTTTTCCATGTATGGAGGAGGGCTGCGGGGCTCATTTCCACAACTGTGTGCCCACTTCATTCCTGGCCCCCTCCCATCATGGGCACAAACTTTTCAATAATCCTTTTACTCAGTGCCATCTTCCCTGTAGAAGGAACCCATGCCTCCTCTGTGCGGTCATGTCTCTGATAACCTTACAGTTCTCTTGGTTCCCTTTCCTCTTCGAGTTGTTTGGCTGGCACAAGACGGCCAGGCGATGCCTAGTACAGCCTGTTACTATGCTGCTAATCGGGGAGATAATCCTTGTAAACCAGTAACTGATAGCCTTATTCCAATCCACGGGCTTCGTGTTGGTTCAAGGTGGTTTTTTGTTTGTTTGTTTGTTTGTTTGCATGATTTTTATTTTTAAAATTCGTTCTTATTCAGACTGCATTCTGTGAACTGTGAGAAAAAGAAAATGTAGTTTACATAGCTGGTTGTTACTCTGCTGATCAGAAGAAGGTAAAAATGGCAGCCATCCGTACCATAGGATTTCCTTTGTGTGTTTGGTTTCCAGTTGCCCTGTGCCCCTGCTTTGTAGGTAGACTTGATAGGGAGAGCTTCATAGTGTATTTCTGAGTTGGTTGTTCTTAGGCGTCTCAGTGTTTGGGGGTGCAGCAGAGCAACGGCCCCTAGGGGGCATGCATGTGGGTCGGATGCACTGCATAAGTGTGTGTGAATGCGGCTGCAGGTTTGCACCGGTGGTTGATCCTCTTTAGTCCTGTTCCGCTCTCGTTGAGCATTCTTCTGCCTGTAACCCCCAAGAAAGAGCAGGGTTCCCTCTTTAGATTAGTGCTGGCAAAGGAAGACCTAGAGACACAGGTTGAAGAGGAACTGGGGAGAGTTATGGTCGGTCGTCTTTGGGAAGGGGAGACCTCGATTCTACCCATGTGGCTACATCACCCCCATGTCTGTCTGTTCTCCCCACAGTTAAGATCCTTCTGTTCTACGTGATATTTTATGGCTGCCTGGCTGGCATCTTCATTGGGACCATCCAAGTGATGCTGCTCACCATCAGTGAACTGAAGCCCACATACCAGGACCGTGTGGCCCCGCCAGGTAAAATCCAGGGGATGGCTTCTCCTCCACTGGTGAAAGGGGTGCCGTTTCCAACCGAGAAGACACCCTGAGAAAATAGCTCTGTAGTGGAAGCTTCAAGCTAAGCATGGGAAGGAAGCGGGAAGACTGTGGTGGCCACGGCTCCTGGCCGCATTGCGGCTGAGCTCCAGATGGCTGCAGATGTCTTTACAGCTCGGGGTGAGGGTGGAGCACGCAGCCTCACTGTGTGACTGAGCACATCAGGTCCTTTCAGGGCTCTATTTTACTTGGCCTTAACACTCAAGGGATCATTCTAGGGCCTTTTCAGCTCTAACACATTTTTTTTTTCACTTGTGAGGTGACCGTAACTCAGGTAAACCCTTAAAAAAAAATCATGCCCACAGAGAGGAGAGGCTCACCTGTTACTGCTCTGCAGTTTGACCATGAACACAGACACTATCTTTGCAGATCTCCACAGGCCTGTGTGTGGTTTTGGGAACCCTCTCTCCAGTTTAGCTGTCTCGGGTCTCTCCAAAAACTTCAGCGAACAAAAAGATTATCTAT